GGAGGGGGTGTTTCTGTGTCAAAGTCTGTGAGATCCTGGAAAGCAAGGCAGTGGAGAGGCCAGAGTAGCAGAGGACCTGAGCGCACAGGCTGGAAAGATCAACCCCCAGGACTTGGTTAAAGGTGGTTCTCCAGGAAAGACAAGTACCAGAACAAAGGTAGAGTCTCCCCTAGATGGCAGAATTTAAAAGTCTAAAGAATTCAAGAACAGTGGGCTATAACATTAGCAGCCACGGAAGGGAGATAAAAGTACACAGAAAATAAAATCTTGGAATCTCCAAGGGAAAAGAATGTAAACATACCAAAAGAGAAGGGTATGAATTTTCTGTTATAAATAGGGTGTCCTCCCTGATTAGGAGAGAGAAGAGTCCCTAAACTGAGCTACCCTGAATTTCTCATCAGTACGGCAGGAAAGCAAAAAGTAATGGGGAAATCATGGAAAAGCCATTTAAGTACATCAGAGGCAACACTCAGAACTGAAGCCGGCCTTAGGAAAGACTCTCCGCAAAGACAGCTCCACTGCAAATCCATCATTTCATCAAGACGCTAGGAGGGCCCCAGATGCTCCTCTCAACAACAGGTATAAAAATATACAAGGAGTACTTTTCTCTCGAAGATATGGGAAATACCCTCTTCATCAATGCGTTCTACCAACTGAGTCTAAATTCCCCAGTCATAAATGCCAGCTCAATGACATGGATCAACCAAAGAACCAAAATCCCAAACTGTCTTTTCTCTTCCATCTTCTTATTCCTGGAAAACTCGGTCAGACAATAGACAAAATGGGTTAATCCAAGTTTGAAGACGCTGAAGGAACCAAATGGAAGATGACCTAAGCTACAATGGCTAACAGAGAAACCCAGATCATGGACTGGAGACTCCGTTGTCTAGGACCAAGTAGAATAGGAACACTAGAGAGGAAAAAATTTCTCGGCTTTAGTTTTTCCAGGAAAGAGGACAACATTTCAATGTTGTCTTTATATCATCTGTGGCAACAAGAGAACAATTAGTTTATGAAACTTTAATTTTTCTGTAGGAGCCCCCATACTGGAAGCATAGGTACTACACAATTTCACACTCAGCATAAATGAAAGTGCTTCAAAACGTTTGTGGACAAGTGCAAGCAGTAAAGGCAACAGAGGTAAATACTGTTTTACGTATATTTCAGCAACAATAGTATTCTCAAGTAGATGCCTGGATATACACACCGGCTGAGTAGGTCCAGGAGGGAGGAAAGGAAATATACCCATGCATGTATGTGGATGTGCATGTGTGCGTGTGTTTAACAGAGGATATTTGTACATGGATATTTACCTTTGCTGCAACTATATCCATGGATGTGGTGGAGCACACAGGAGTCAGAAGTTAATGAAAACTTCTTGGAAATAACCAGGCACCTTTGAGGAATGAGTCGCTGGGCCTGAGGGCTCAGCAAGCACCAAGGTCAACTGGCACAACAATGTCTACAAAGTCTACATCCTACTTTACTGAATAGCAACTGGGGTATTAAAAAGCTCATGAGAGGCAGCGGCCATCCAAGATGTAATGATTGGTCTCCCCCTGTCCAGAGGAAAGGATAATAATGAAACCTGAAGATGCATGTGAACAATTAGCCTAACAGACCACAGGACAAAATACGCACCAGTCTCCATAACCCTAGAACTGAAAGAACTACATGGTGTCCGGCTACCCCTACCAACTGTTCTGAACATAATCACATTAAACAGTCCCAGGTAGAGTGGGAGAAAGACATGGAACAAAACTCAGAATCATGAAGGAGACCAGGCCTGTTGGAAAGAGAAGAAGAGATTTTGGTCCCTTGGTCACTCTTCGGATCTGAAACTGGGCTCTCTCCATGGCTCACTTTCCAGCCAAATAATGGGCAGGTCCATAAAAGGAATACCAGCACTATCAATGTGTCCACACTTCAAAGTAACTGCCCATCTGAAGTCAAGGGTGTGGTGCTTACTCCAGGGCAGTTCAGAAGGGTTAGGAAAGAGAGGCCTGAAGACAGGAGATGGGCTTGAGATGGGTGATGCTGCCTTGAGGGGACGGTAATGAATGGGATGAAACAAAATGTGTATGACTTATTGAATGCAATGCTGATAATCTGCTATGGAAACCTTTACTCCATTCACAATAAAAACTTGTTTTGTTTTTTTTTACATTTGTGGACTGTGGGGGAAGCCAGCCCCCCACAACTAATTGCGGGTTCAGTAAGCGCAATTGTACGGTTGAGATATATAAAGATTATAATAAAGTCATAGAGAATGAGAGAGATAGGAGAGAGTAAAATAAAGTCAGACACATTGCATGGTAGCATGCTCACCTCCTGGATGGCCATGATCTCAACAGCCAGGTCCGGCCACAGCACGGGCCGGGCAGAGAGGGCAAGGGAGAGAGCACAGGAGAGAGAGAGGTTTACTGCTAACCAAGGCTTATATATCTTTACGGGTGTGTTTGCCTCCTAATTACAGGAAAAGACATAGGTCACAGGAAGGGGTTGTACAATAGGCAATACAAGCAATAGGAGGGGGATATACCATGGGCATAGCGTAACAAGAAGGGGATGAGCTAGGGTGTACACATGATAGGAAGAGGAGGGACAAGGGGTATACAAGTGACAAGATGGGTGGACCCTAGATTCATGATGGTGGCCTAACCTTGGTCACCCTTGAGTGGGCTTGACCTCCCTGGGCTCTCCTTCAGGGAAATAATCTATTACTATCCTTATCAGAAGGGAGTGGGCCCTACTTGTTGTGGGATAAACAGTGGTGTCTGCTTGTTCTGGATGGCTGATAACCCTTAGGGAGAATAACCCCTGACCTACTTCTGTTGACCTCCAAGTGTATAGTCATTCACCATGTGTAGCAAGCAGCTAGGTTTGGCATATACTTGGGGGAGACAACTTGGGAGAAACCTTTGTTTCCCACAGTGGACAAATGGAACTAAAAGATCATGGAATTTTTCCACAAACATTTCAAACTCCTTTCTTTGATTGGGACTATCCTGTTGCTATGAGTAAGAATTTAGTTTTTTCCTTTGGACAGTCATATAATGCATTATGTACAAATTTCTGATAAATCAGATGAACAAAACATCTAGAACTCAGGAAATTAAAAAGGGAGTGAATTCTAGGCCTACATGTGTATGTTTTGGAGAATATTTAACTAATGTCCTTTTGACCCTCTTTAGAGGTTTCTTGGGACAAGATCAAACAACAGTTGAATTGATGGTATTTGTGGAGTCATACAAAATTAATAAAAACTGAGGAAGGGGTTGGGCAAAGATGGCAGATCTTATGGTCTCATTCTTCAGCGGTAATACACTTTATCACTTGATCAACAGAAAGAATTTAAACTGGAAGAATATAGAAAACCCCCATCTTGCTTACCCCCTCAAAAGAAAGGGCTGAACTTATCAGGTTAGATTCCAGGCTATTAATTTGGCTATTTTTCCCAATATATGGTAAGTTTTTACTGTGAATTGGGTGAAGGTTTCCACAGTTGATCATCAGTCTTACATGGAACAATTCACTGGATACAAGATCACACACTTGAGTCTGATTCTTTGTCTTTTCGACATTTTTGGTGATCTTATTAAGGAAAAATTTTTTTGCAATCTCACTCTCTCCTTCTCAAATAAGCATTCATGTTAGTTTGAGAAAGGTTGGTTGCCAAAAATAGGATTGAGGATTTAAAGGAGAGGCCACACTTAACCCCAAGTCCTGGCCTCTAGTGCAGTATACCACAGCACTCTACCTTGGGGCACAATAGTAGTACAAGCCAATCAGCGATAAAGCACTAGCTTGTCTCCCATTTGCCAATGTCCCCACGAAGACCCGTAGTTCCCCACAACATCGTGGAAGGAGAGTGGTGATGGCTTGCGCAAGATTTGGGCATGCCTAAGTGTTTGGCCATAACACTATCAAAGACTCACCTAGGCTCTAACATCTGCCTTGTGGGAATGGATATGAATCAACTGTGAGATCAAGGGAAGATTAAGATCTAAAGTTATAAAATAAGAAAAGAAAAAGGGGGGAATATAAAGATAGTAAAATCCTCACAACTAGACCAGTGGATAACATCATGATGAACAAAAAGAAGACGGAGTTGTCAAGATTTCATTTTGCTTGGTTTCACAATCAGTGCTCATGGAAGCAGCAGGCAAGAAATCAAATGGTGTATTGCATGGGGCAAATCTGCTGAACAAGACCTCTTTAAAGTGTTGAAGGGCAAGGATGTCACTCTGAGGACTAACATGCGCCTAACCTGAAGATGTTATGACCTAAACTAGGAAGCGCTACGGAGCTAGGACCTGGGGAAACACTTGGTTAGGTACATGTCATTATCAAGGTACTAACTTTCCTGATCCCTCCCTTGTGGCGCAGTGGATTAAGCTCTGGGCTACTAACTGCAAGGTCAGCGACTCAGACCTAGGAGTCACTTTGTGGAAGAAACAGAAGGCTGTCTGCTCCCATAAAAGCATCAGAAACTATGTGGAACAGTTCAACTCTGTTGACGGCAGTGAATTAGGTTGGGTTAACTTTCTATTATTACGGTGATTTTTATAACATTTAGGAATTGCAGATACTTATTAGTCTTCAAAAATTTTTAAGAATTAATAAGAAAAGGTGTCATATAGGCTGCTTCTGTATGAGCAAATAATTAGTTCTGGTTATACTCATCGTGAACTATACAAGGTTTCTAAGCCTAAATTTTTATGTGAGTAGACAGCCTCAACTTTCTGCAGCAAAGCGGCTGGTGGATTCAAACCACGAACCTTGCTGTTAGCAGTCCATTGTTTCCATGATGTGAAAGCACAAACCGGGTTCCTTGGTTTTTCTTGTTTATTCAGTTGCTTTTTTTCTTTTTTTTGTTGTCATACTCTAAAGACTCAAGAAATTTTTTTTTCATTTTAAAAAACTCAATTAAAACCTAGTTCTGCTTACATGTATAGCTTACCCAATACACAATAATGAGTTCAGAATTAAGGCACTACCTCCAAATTTTTCAACCGCTTTCTCCACTGCATTACTGATTTGCTGTTCATCTCTCACGTCAACAATGCACGGCAAGGCCTTTCCTCCAGCTGCTTCAACTATGAAGGAACAAAAACCCAAAGGATCATTGAAGCATTTAAATGTTACACCTTTCCTTCTGATAAAACAGTTATAGGAAGCAAGGAGGGTTCCTTATCTGTACAAGCTCAATATAAGTCAGATTTGTCTGATACACACGAGTGACTCCACCCTTAAAGTAGGACAGATGGACTAACTCATCCAACTTCAGTCTGGCCAGTCCAACTCTACTGACATATAACCCCAAAATTGACATTAATTTTTGAAAGTAAGTCTACTGAAAGGCAAATAAGGGTAATTAAAAAAAGAGAAAGCCTTCTTACTATGAGAATTACCAAAAATTTTTAGAATAGTACAGTAAACCAAGAATAGTATAATGAACTACCATGAATCCATTGCTTACCTCAAAGGACTGATATTTTGCCAATTGTTTATCTTTCCCTAGCTTTTGTATTTTTTGCTAGTGCATTTCAAAACAAATCCCAGGAATTATTTCAATCATAAGCACTTCATATGCATTTTTCTGCTCTAATCACATCCTGTGATCCTATCTAACAAAACTGGCAGTATCAGCTGAGCTGAATTTTTAAACCATAAAATCATTCTCTTGATGTCTTCTCCCCTGGCACGGTGCCCAGCACACTGCCTTGAATATGAGCACCCAATACATGTTTATGAGCTTAAAGTATTAAAATGAGGACTCAGAAGTTGTACAGTGACTAAAAAACATGAAAGATTTTCCTAAGTGTTTACACCAGCTACCCTTCAGGTTCCATCCTCTCCGCTTCCACTCCCACCCAAGAACCACTGCTCTAGAGACACTGTTTTTAATGGGGATTTCTCAGATCACTCAAAAGTGTTGAAGGAGAAAAGGTTCAAAACCACTGCACTAGTGACCAAAAGTAAACACTTACTTAATAATAAAATTCTGCTAAAGCAGCTTTCATAAAGCTAAGAACCTACTCAATAGCTGTGGGTTTGATTGGGGTTCACATGTCAAATGGTGGGGATACAGAAGAGAGTAGAACTGTCCCTTGGGCTTCTGAGGCGATGAAGGCTTATGGGAATAGACTGCATCGTCTTTACCCCATGGGGCAGCGGGTGGTTTCAAACAGCTGACCTTGTGATGAGGAGCCCAACACACACACAATTATGCCACGCGGGCTCCATGGGTTTGTATAGCTATAAGCCAATTCTTTAACAAAGTTCCCTCCTTATTGTCACCAGTGTGAGGATATTTTCGGAAATGGAATTCCCACACTCACTCACTTTCTTCAGCTGCAGTATAGATTGTGCCTGGGAGTTTGGGGTGGGCACTGGTCGTCTTTGCAGCAATGACGATATTTGCTCCATCCTTTGCCGCTTTTAATGCAATCGCTTTGCCAATGCCACGGCTTGCCCCTGTGATAAAAAGCGTACATCCTGCTAGCTTCCTACAATAGAACAAATGTGACTGGATTAGAACCCTCAATGTTTTATTTACTGAGAAGTATCACATGCGCTAGAATCAAACTCAATGACAATGAGTTTGGCTTTTATCTTTTTATAAGCAACTCTTCTTACCCGAACCCCACTCAAACCCATCTGAGAGCTAATAACTCCATTACACTCCCACTGTATATTGGTTTAAAAATTATTTATGACAACTGAAGATTTTATTACCAAATATGCTCATATGCCAAGTAAATCTTAAAGGGAAGTGAGGAATTAATAAAAGTAAACTACATATATACTTTTCCCAGAGCAAGCGCTATTTTTTAAAATCATTTTACTAGGGGCTCATACAACTCTTATCACAATCTATACGTACATCAATTGTGTCCAGCACATTCGTAAATATGTTGCCATCATCATTCTTAAAACACCTGCTTTCTACTTGAGCCCTTGGTATCAGCTCCTCATTTTCCC